AACGGTCGCTGAACAACGACGGATCTGCTTTTTGCTGATCTCTGCATACTTGACTTTGGAGGCCTCTTACTCTCCTTAGAGATATCGCATCGTGTCGGGTGTTGTCTCTGTTTATTCACGAGATGATGACAATTAAAATGATGTTTTACTGAAAACAATACAACGTCTCCGCGATGAGTGAGAGGCCCCCAAAGTCAAATATGCCGAGATCAGCAAAAAGCAGATCCGTCGTTGTTCAGCGACCGTTTTCTGATCCGTCGATGTTCAGCGACCGCTTTCTGATCCGTCATTGTTCAGCCACCGCTTTTTGATCCGCCTTTGTTGCACGGATGCGTCGATGGTCTCGCAAGGGAACTCATAAGAAGTGTTAGTCCCCCAATTTTGTTCCGCCTGCGGGGGGGTTTTGTGAGGGTCAGTGTCAGCAAAAACGGACGACAACAACGCACAAGGCCGTGAATCTCAGAACAAAGAGTCGTAACTACTCTTGTTCTAGAAAGCAATAACGTATTTAATTAGTAAAAATAATTTTGTATTAGATTTTGTTTTATTCGGATCGTCTATTTGTTAACACGCAGTGTTAACGTTTTTGTGAAACAGCCTAGCCTCCCGAGGCGGAAGGAAATACTGGTAAGCAAAGTACATCAGTGGTACAAGGTGTACTTTTCTACTGTTCTCCGGAGATCAGGCGCTCGCTCCGCGCTCCGAGAGTGGGATTTGTGGTACAGGCTCAGTCCCGGGCCTCCCCAAAATGAATGGTACAAAAAGTACAGCTGCAATCCTGGGCTGGCCCGGGAAGGCAGGGCGTTGCGGGGCGTGCCACCGCCGCCCGACCGCCCCCTCTCCCCCATACTCCAGCTGAGATGAAATGGTTGTAAGTCCAACATCCACGTTGACTCTCAAAACATTCAGAATTTACTGACGGACGACTGAGTACAAAATTTGAAGATTCCCAAACATTAGCCTTACTGCCTGAAAAAAAAATCAAGTTTGCCTTGTTTGAAAACAGATACAAATTTCCTATTTGGTGTAAGTGTTAACTTAAAGCAAAGGCACCCTGCAGGCAAGTGTGTACCACACTTTTTGTGCGTCGGGTTTCATGACTTCATAAATTAAAACAGTATCACCTGAAAACTGAACACTTTGAAATGTTTAACTTGTCATCTGCACATTTTATTTAACACTTAAAAGTGTTTAAGTCCAATATTTTCAAATGTTTTTTTTCAGCCCGCCCTTCTGCTTTGAAAAAGCTATCCAGCGGGCTTATGCTAACGACCTCGTGTGTGTCTGTGTGTCTGTCTGTCTGTTCCACTAGAGGGAGATGTGCTAGAGACTTGAAATTTTCAGGGTATCTTAAGGTCCACTCCTAGAGAACGAAACGCCTACGGCAAATCCTGGCAACCACCACTAAGGGTGTGAATGGGTATCCAAGGTTCAAAAATTCTCCCAAAAAGTATTTTTTTTATATTCTCCTAAGGGGTAACTCGTCAATGTAGAGACCGCTGGGCGAAAATTTCGTCCGTTTCGCTATTACTCTAACCGTTTACGCGCTATAGGTAAGGATATGCACTTTATGCGTTTTCAAACTGTCAATCATCACTGTGAGAAAAAACAACGGAAAATCAACGGACAACAGCGGCAATTATTTTCCGGACTTGTCCGTACCCTAAATTTAGTTGTACGGTCGAAGCAAAACGGTTGTTCCGGGTTGTTCCGTACCTTATTTCTGGGGTGCGGAGCAACCGTATCACGTATCTAACGGAGGTAAGCGGCAATTATTTTCCGGACGCGTCCGTACCCTACATTTTGTTATATGTCCAACTCAAACGGTTCTTCCGTACCTCTTTACTGAAGCATGCTATAACGGAAGGTCCGTTGGCAGTCCCGTAGAATCAGATGTTTTTTTACAGTGATGCTCTCAAAAATGTCACTTTTATGCGCTGATTATGCTTTAAAATTTTCCAAATATGCCCTCTTTATGCCACGTTTTCTACTGTAATGTTAGAGTCAAGTAAAGTATTTGATCAGCAACGCTGACATTCTCATTAGTTGGTCTCTAGCGCCAGCTAGCCTCACACCAGGATCTCCGCGGGATTGTTTGAAAGCAGCGAGCGTCACTGCGCGTAGCAACAGAGCTCAGTCGTTGTGCAGTCTCGGTCGAGTGTGGTTGGTTTGTCCGCTGCTGTACCGTTCCTGCTAGACCCCAATAAATCTACTGATCCAGTACTCCTGTTGTTTCCTTTACTCAGTCTACCCGACGCTACAATTGGCGCAGTCGGTAGGACTGAAGTAAGGGAAGACCAGGGTCTGCGATCCGTAGATATTTACGTTCCAAACTTACAGTCCATCGTCGCTGCGTCCTTGGCCCTTGGCGTCCTCGACTGAGCTGCCCTCGGCGTCCCTCGAGCTGGTGTGACCGGTGCCCCTTGTGACCCTGCCCCCTGGTGTCCCTGGTGGCCGCCCCGCTCCCGGACCCCGTCCCTCAGTCGCTGCGACCCCTGCCTGACCTGCGACCCCCCTGGTGACCCCAACCCCTGAGTGAGTCCCTTGCTTCAGTCTTTCTGACTGCCCGACTTGTCTGTGCTGCCCACCGTCCGTCCGTCTCGCGTGTTCGCCCGTTGACGCCGTCCTCGATTTCGCCATGGACCGGGGTATTCCCCGTGGCCAAGGGCGTGGAGGACGCGGTCAGGGACGCGGACGCGGAGCGGCCGCGGTCGAGCCCATTGTTGAGCCGCGGCGTGGGGGGCGCGTCCCGCGCCCCAACCCCCGCTACCTCGACAATGCGGAGGCAGCCCAGCAGCTGCCGCACGCAGCCGCTGGCATTGTCGGCGAGCTAGGAGAGGAGCCCGTTGAGGAGGTGGAGCAGGCCGTCGATGTGCCGGCCTTGCTCAGGGAGCTTGCGGCACTCAGAGCCGCCGTGCAAGCTGGTGTGGCCGCCAACGCGCAGGCCAACCCCGCTGTCGTGGCCCCCGAGGCCCCAGTGGCCCCCGAGGCCCCAGTGGCCCCCGAGGCCCCAGTGGCCGTCGAGGCCCCGGTGGCCCCGCCACCACCCGCGGCCCCTCAGGCCCAGTTCATGTTCCCTCCTGAGGCCCCTCGGGGCCCTCCGTGCCTGAACGTATTCCCTCCTTGGGTCCCTCAGGCCGCCCGCGCAAACCGCATTGATTTCGGGCCCGCGCCTCCCCTAGCCCCGCGAGTAGTGTCGGCATCCGAGATGCTGACCCTCCGGAAGGCCGTCCCCAAGTTCGACGGCAAGATCTCTTACGAGGCGTACAGGGCCTCGTTCGATGATCTCGTAGGGCTCTACCCCCACCTGACGCCGGACCAGCGTTTCCAGCTGCTGTCCTCCGGTCTCGTTGGCGCCCCTCAGTCCCTCCTGGAGGACCTGGCCGCAAACCGTACGTTTGCTGGCCTAGATGAGGCTCTCAGGCTGTCCTACAGCAAGCCCGTACATGCGTGGACTGAGATGAACAATCTCACCACCATGAGGCAGGACCCCTCGGAGACACTCGAGGAGTGGTCCACTCGTGTAAGCCGGGTGGCGCGCCGCGCCTACCCTGACACGCCTCTCCCACGGGTAATGGAGTATGCGGTCCAATATTTTATTGTTGGACTCAGCTCCGCTGCCATCAGAAGTGGTGTGTCAGGCCTGGCTTGCGCTACGATGGAGGAAGCCCTCAACTCTTGTCGGTTGGTGCGGTCCAGGCTCTCATTGCCCTCCGGACCCCCGACTAAGAAGGTGTGTCTGGCCACAGTGGCCGAGACCACCATCGAGGTCGGGCAAACACCCTCCGCCCCCGCACCGTCGTCAGCGCAGGCAGCGCCCTCCGCGGCGCCAGGCCCGTCGTGGCAGGACCAGCTGGCTGCTCTCACCAAGCAGGTAGAGCAGGTGGTCCGCCAGACGAAAGCCGAAGCTAACACTGACACGGAGCAGGAAAACCGTAGAGGTCGCGGTCGCGGTCGAGGTCGCGGTCGTGGTCGTGGTAGAGGTGGCCGAGGTGGTGGTAACCAACAGGGTAACTGCTACCAGTGTGGACAATATGGCCACTTTGCCATGAATTGTCCCCGGGCCCCTCAACCCCGCGACAACCAGCAACAGCAAGCTAAGGCTCCTGCCCCAGCTGCTGCTGCCGCCGCCCCCGCGCAGGCCTCTAACGTCCCGGACACGCGCATGCCGTACGTGCACCCCCCGCACTACCACGCCAATCTCACTTGGCAAGTGCATGCCGCCCCGCTGCAGCTGCAGCCCCTGCCGACCCCGGCCCCGCAGGTGCAGACCGCTGTGCTGGCGCTCCCCGCCGGCTATCAGCAGGTCACCCTGCAGGCCCCGCCGCAGGCTCCGGGAAACGGACAGTAGCCTCCCTGGTGACCAAGGCGACGCCTTCGCCAGGAGAGGCTCCAGCGTCCTTGACCGACGATACGCAGATTGAGCCTGTTGGCTCTCCCACTGCTATCTTTCGGGTCAACGGCAAACCAGTGACAGTGACCCTCGACACGGGAGCGCAGATCACTGTCGTGCGGCGAGGCCTCCTCGCAGGCCCGCCCGCACCTCCTTCCAAGTACCGCCTCCGAGGCGTTAATGATGCTGTGTCCGTTCTCTATGGACCCATCGTGCGCTCTCTTGAGATAGCGGGGAAGGAGTACAGGTTTGTTGCGCTTGAGTCGGACATCCATGATGAGTGCATATTAGGCATGGACTTCATGAGAGTCTTTAGGGCCGTGGTGGACACTGGCCGCCTAGCACTTACTCTGGACAGTCCAGACCACAAATCACAGGTGACCTGCCCATTTAAACTTCAGTCATCTTCTGATGCTGGAAAATTTGGTGCTAATAGTGTCTTTGTGGTGGCGCGCGCAGCTGTAACTATTGAGTTACAGCCATTTCAATCAACCATTTGCCCCGCCCAGTTGACGGGTGTTGCTCCTTTGCCTGGTGATGGAATGGCGACCGCACGAGTACTTCGAGCTCAGTGTGTTCTCGAGAGCGA